GTCTAACAGTGTCCTGGGGGAGAGGAGACAGACATGTGCAAGCAGGCACACTTGCGTTTATGGGTGTGGGGGCAGCCACAAGCCTTGGCCCTTCTTTCCATACGGGTGAGGTGAGCAAGGGGAACCCATGGCAGGTCCTGCACTGTGCCCCCGAGGTCTGTGCCACCACACAGAAGAGCCCTCCTTTCCCAAGGGAAGCACAGCCGTGCTTGAGGTGTTCCTCCCTTTTCTCCTACCCACTGGCCGGTCAGCAAGGATGTGCTGGGTGGGATACAAATGCCTCTGTGGCCCATGCAGCTCCCATGATATAGGGAAAGGAGCACTCCTGGGCAGTCACAGAGCCACTGCAGCTTCTTCTACAGGGCAGATAACTCCTGCAGCAGCCCTGCATGCAGAGGCTACCAAAGGGATTTTTAAAACAAATTCCTCATTCTTCTGTGTATCCTAGCAACACCTCTCTGAGGTTAGAGATGCAATGCCTTGCCCACCTGTTGCATAGGAAGCCTGAGGCAAGTTACATACTGCTTTTTTCCCAGTTTGCCCAACTAGCACGAAGCCACAGCGATTAAGGAATATGCCACAATCAGCATACTCCAGTCTCATCCGCTCAGGCTGGGTGTCACACACAGGCATTCACACCTCTAAACACCATGAACTCAGCAGTGACTCATGCAGTGTGCGTGTGGTCCAAGGAAAGGTCTTGCTGACACAGGCTGAGGGCTTTGTGATCAAGGCAATAAAAAGGGGGTGGCCTTAATCCCTGCCGCAAAAATGCTTTATGTGCAGTCACACAGCGCTGAAGGAGCGCAGGCCCTGAGCAGGTATCTAAATAAGATTTCCAAAAACACTGCAGGTCCAAAATGTGCACAGTGAACAAAACTGAAAGAAAATTTGGCTCCTCCCATACCCCTCCCTCCAACCTGATCAAGATGCAATATAATTATAGCAAATGAGCATTCCTTTTTAAAAAAATCGCAAGAAACTCATTGAAAAGCAACTTTTTTCATAAGAGCTATCATTCTTTTTCTCCCTCCTCTAAAGCACCCCTTAGCATTTTCTATTTCTTGTGGGGGAAAAAAAGAAAATGAAAATGTTATAGAAATGATCACAGTACTTTAAATTTTTTTTTATAGAACAATTAAAAATAAATTTAATCAAAACCATAAAAAATAAAACTTATTACAAAAATCTGTAGAAGGGGAAATTTACAACGGATCACTTTCCACACCCCGTGAAGATGGTCGTTTCCCTATGATTCTCCTGCTCGTCAAATTAGATTTCCTTTCTTTGGCTATCACTGACCAAATCCTTTCAGCTACAATATGCATTTGTCACTTGAACCTCAGTTATTTTAATTTATCATTTATCTGCATTCCTGCAAAACAAGCACATAAGAAACTACATATTTTGCTGCTTTTTTGTGTTACTGAACTAATCACTGCTAAGTCCGTTTTACTCTAATACATTGAAGGAATTCCATGGTTGCACAGGCACATGCACGGGAGCCTCTGTCCCCAAGGCCAGTAGGGGAGATGAGGTTACCACTGCTCAGTCAAAGATACATCATACACTGCAGATCTCTCTTACTCATCTTTACTCAGAGGAAAATATGGGATACTTCATAAGTGGTTTTGGCACTTGTGAGTTATCGCTCCTTCCCCACTCATGAAGATAAATGCCGTAATGAAACGCAGCCACCAGGTATTCTCTATATTTGGAGTACTCAAAGTATGAACAATGATTATGCCCTTTCATTGGATAAGTTAAGGTTGACTGCCTAGCTACCTGGGGAAGACAGGAACGATTTACACTAGTTCACAGGCAATGAATGGAAGAAGGTGGTGTACCTTCTCCCTCAGCACCGGTTATTCTGCTAATCTCAGGGTGAATAATACGTTCAGTATGTCAAAACTTCCTTTTTACTTTAAGGCTACTTGCCAGCTGAATCTGCAAGCTCAGATGAGTCCAGCTGAGATGGCAGCAGCCACTTCATTAGTTCAATGTCTGTTTTTGACACTTTTGTGGAACCATTGACTAAGTTTTTATAACAAGTGAGAAAAGGATTTTTATAGGTAAGATTTTTTGCAAGTGTCACAGGAATTTTAGGACGTGGTCCTGGCCTGTGCTACGCAAACAAAACTCCCTTTTGGGTTGACAGACATCATGAGTGAGAACTGGATCATGTTTTTTGCCTTCATAGCTGTTATTTTTTTCATAGTGTAAGGGAGGAAATTCAAGCATTTGAAGTTACATTTAAATATGAAAACCTTATAGACATATCTGATAATAAAAACACAGCTGTTAACAACACACTGAAAATAATGCAACAGTACTGCACAGGAGGCTGAAACCCTGTCTCTGGTTATGTCTGAGGATAATCTGTAGGTGAGAGCAGCTTCTTCATTTATTTAATACAGGGAGTAGTGTTTGTATTTGTATATTGTGCAGTACTGGGCAGAAATACCCTCAGGATCCCATCATCCAGACACTGCACAAATAAGAACAGAACTTCCTAAACTTCTGCGAACAAGGCATAAGCCCTGGAAAGACAGTTCTTCGCATGCAAGGCAAGAGTTATGTTTATATTTCACTCAAGCGGAAGAAATTCACCATTCAAAGCCGATCTCTTGAAATCTGCAGTGGACTAGAAGCTTGAAGGATGCAAGCTTACAGGGGCTGCTTCATCTTAAATTTAATAACAAATCTCTGGTTGTTTCTGATGTAAATATGGAGCAATTGGTAGACACAGGATACGTCCAGACACATCTGATATATCAGAGCCTTGCAACATCACCAACTCCCACATCCACCAGTTATTTTTATGCAGCTACTAATGCTAAGGATGTGTTAGGAAAATAAGTTAAGTATTAATATGCTCCAGGGAGAGCATTTGCAACAAGAAGCAGGTTGTGAGTTAAAATAGCCAGGTGCATCTTAACCAGTATACAAAATGGTCAAAGAACAGCTGCTGAAGAGACTCATAAGGCCCTGGCACACGCTATCTAGAAAACATTAAGAGTATTTTGAAGCACGCACTGGCTCATATTCAGCACCCAGAAGCTATTTTAAGTGCTCAGTGGAGAAAAGCTAGTGTTATTAGGGCACTTGTCTTCCAAGAGACAACAATACATTTTGAGCCAAATAATGCCATCAGAGGGCTTTGTAAACACCTAAATCAGATGAAGTGGCTGTGATGATCTCAGGAAAGATTCAGAGGCTGAGCTAAGGCAGGTTTTCTTACGACACTTGAAAAGAAAGTCAAGCTATTTGCTGGGCAGTTTTGGTGCTATGCGTATCACGTAAAAGCAGCTTCCAGCAAGAATCTCTGGAGTCAGATGAACTGCCTGTTGGCGCAGGGCAGCTGGTTAAAGAAGAAAATCTTGAGCCGGAGCCTACAAGATAAGTTTTTTTTACCTTACTGCACAGCAAAGCCATGGCTAAATAAGCACTGAAAATACAACCCTCACTTCCTGGCAGAACAACAGCCTCAGACTCAAGAGGAAAGGTTCCAGTCCTCCTCTGACCTTTGCCTCACCTCACCATCTCAGTTTCACCCAGCCTAATGTCTTTTACAAAGCATTTCAAGACCACAGACAAGAAAAAGTATACGAAGAAACAGATACTACTATTATTACCCGATGCTATGGCTCTGTATTATGTGAAGGTATAGACAGTCACAATGAACACCCTAAATCAGAAAGATGGGAAGATATGTGGGAACAGAAGAGGAGGAAATTGGATTATGACAGTGATAGAGAGAAGAGTAGTAGATGGCAGGGATTTAGAGACCTTGGGAAGCACTCTGATATCAGCATGATGGTCTCAGTAAAGAAAATTGTTAAAAATATGACCAGAAGAAAGAGCAGGATCAGAAAGAGTCAGCCAAAACTGTTTTATTTTGTAAAATATTTCAAGCCTCCTTTTCCCTCCTGTTTTTGAAAGCTTAGCTGTACAGCATGGTGAGGCTTGAACAACAGAGAACTGTAAGCACTTGTGTGCCACTGAATACTGTGACACAAACAAAGCAGAGAGTGAAGGGTGCCTAAATATAGTTCAGAACGCTCCCACCTCTCTGTACTCAGGTTCAAACTCCTCATTCAGCTCAGGTCAGTGATTTTTCAGTCAGTGTTTAGTCACTAGCAGAAATAAGGCCATTCCACAATCACCAAAGCTTAGGGTAGAAACGATCATAGCTGATGAGAAACCAGGTATAAATAAAATACTACCAGTGGACTCCCTAAAAAGAGTTTGCCACTGCCAGCACTTTATTAAGTTACAGTCCAGTGATATTTAGCCAGTTTTTAATCTCCCAAACCACTGACTGTAGATCCTCAGCTGGGAGAAATGAAATGTTGATCTACCCACATTGTGATCCAGCCCTGAATTTACAGATGAACGTAAAGCCATGGACTTAGCTTACATTTTTGTCTCAAGAAAATAAGCACTTTTCTCACTATATATAATACACTATTTTTGCTTAGAAAAGGAAGTTCTAAAATTAAATACACCAAAGATACAGTCTCCCCCTCCCATCCCCTTCTCTGCCCCCACCCCCTCCAGTGCAGCAGCAATGCTGACACAGAGCAGCAAGAGCAGAGGCAGAGGGGATGCTAAAGCTAAGTTAACTTGGCAGAAAACATGTAACACCTGAAGCAACATACATGCAATAACCAAGGATCACAAGGAAACCAACATGCTCGTGTTCTCGAAACTAAGAAAAAAGTTCATCTACTCTTTCAACAACTATTTTTGTTTCGAATACGCTCTTGGCATGAATTCCATACACAGTCTTTGATCAGTACTGAGAAAAGTAGAGTTGTGAACCAAAAAAGGAATGAAATTAAGTACCAACGAGTGTCTCAAACAATGTACAACTGCCAGCCTCTCATGGTACTTCTGTTATTTGCAGAAAGCAAGTGACTGAGGGCACTGGGGCAAATATTCAACAAGCGCTTTTTTTTTCTTGCGACTAATCCATCACATTTGCAAGTTTCACTTACCCGTCAAGTTCTTCAAGCCAAGTTCCCTGAGTCCAAAGTTACCATCCTTTCTGTAGTTAAGAAATATTGCCAAAGCATATCGCTCTTCATAGAGTTTTGTCCCACGAACAATGCGCAGGTTCTCCAATGGCAGGTATTCAAATTGATTCAAAGCCACCAAAACATACCCTGTGACTTCTCGGATAGACTGAAAGACAAAAATTAAACAAACACATTAGAAATGGTCCATTTTAAATTGTTCTGAATTTCTCATACAGTGGATGCTTTAGTATGAGATGCTGGTACCCAAGAAAAAAAACCCAACAACTTTGGAAAACAAATTCTGTTTCAACTTATTGATTTTAACCACATTTCTGTTTAACTGGGTTTATTAGAGATACTGGTTGGAAAACTAGAAAATAAAGAGGTAGACATTCTTTTCAGTTTTATTAAACTTGAGCACAAATTCACAGTAAGTATTAAAGATGCACGAAAGGATGACTTCACACAACTCAAAGCAGGTCAAAGGCCTCTGCAGGACATGAGCAGAATCCACTGGGGCAACGCCACAGTTCAGATAAGACTGTCTGCCTGCAAGTAACTCTGTTGTACAGGATATTCCAGGGTGAGACTGAAGGGACACAACATGGGGTAAGAGACACACCTCTGGAAGAGCTCACCATCGAACAGGAACGGATGGTAGAAATGGGGGGCAGGTTTGGAAAAGTAAATAAAGACAAAGCACATATGTATTAACACCCACTTTTGTACTTCTAAATGAAATCAATCACTGAACATTTACAAAGATTTAACTTCAAGTTTCATTTGGAAGTGCTGGAACCATACATGCTAGATATCCCAAACTTTGATCAAAACTGGTATCAAAACGTTTAGCAAAATGATTGCTGCATCTTTGGGTTGGCTGAAATCTTTGTTTGGTTTAGATGAACTACTCAATAACCCCCTTGCTCATAATTCAGGAATTGATTGCCTGGGTTGTAAAGGGAAAAAACACCCCAAAACTCAATAACTAGAAACAGTTTTTCGAAGTCCAAAAGATTAACAAAACTAAGATGTTTTTAGAAAGAAAAGAAGATTTAAAAGTATGCTTTTTTAGAAAACAAAATTCATTCTAAGCAATTTAAATAAATGGCCTAGAAATCTGCAAATGTCTTTGAAAAGTGTCATTTCAACACTCGCACAGAGCCCCACCATCCTCAGCAGGACTTCGCACAGGCTGAGGGATGCTCCTGCCCAGAGCTGCTTCCAGAAACAGGACCTCTCAAATACGGTTTTCAAATCTCACCTAATTCCATGCCCGCAACAGCCTGCAACCACTGTATACACATATATTTATGTGTGTATGTATATTTAATGGACAGATATTGATATAACTACTTGTGTGCCTAAGTGGATGCATGCACTTTTTTCTTCCCTCTGGCAAAGTCAATACCTTAAACAATACACAGAAAGAAAAATTCTGCTTAGAGTAACGTGCACAGATTATAACTAACATGATGGGGACTCCAGTCAATATCGTAATAAAAACAAACAGGCAAACAATAGCAGGCTTTGAATTAAATGTGTTGTGTATGTATCATTAATACAGAAAGGCAACATGGATTTGCAGCACAAAGGACAGGCTTTTGCTCTGCTGGTTCAGCGCTGTTGCTATGATTTCATATGTAAGTGTGCAAGAGCCTTTTGATTAGGTTTATAAAAGTTCGTAAGGTTATTAGCAAATGCGGCAGTATACATAAGGAAGGATTTATATGCCACAAAGTCTAGGCACTAGCTCTCCTTCTAAAGTCAAACGTCTGTACTCAGCTGAAGCTGCTGGAAAAGCTCTGGAGCTATTTCAAGACTTGCTTGGCATCTAAACAGAGCACAGTGTCATTACAGGACTTTGATGAGAACCCAGTGAGTTGAGCTAGGTTGAGAAGTACAGTTCAGTAGCTCAATATTAAATGTAGAGCTGCATTATACCCTGGGACACTGATTCCATTATAATCAGAAGCTTTCCAGCACTTTCATGATAGTTCTTTGCTTTCAGACATTTCAGCTTAGCCAGTTTGGTCAGGAATTTGTTTTTCATCATACGCAAAAATTTCCTTAAGATGGCTTTTTTAGCCTCTCTTCAGAATTTAGGAAATATTAAAATTATACTCGTGGCTTCAGTTTCTCCACTGATATTCTAGGGATACTGTGATTGCTGTAATTAATTTAAAGGGATGTTTAACTTGGAATTGAGTTGAAAAGAATTAAAAGCAGTTCCAAAACTGCATCTAACCAAGTCCTCCCTGCCAATTTTTGTCACTTATAACCATGTTTTCTACTTTTAGGGTGTCTTGTTTACTGCCGTACAGCAAGTCCACCTGAAAGGGCCCTAATTCAGCATGGCACTGAAATTACACACACACCCCCCCCCGCACCAGCAAATCTTCAATCCAAAATAAATTAAACAGGAGAAAAGGACAATTGTTGTTGATAATTGTGAACTGCCACCCCTAACCCAGAATCCTTGGTATTTTGTTTGTTTGGTTTATCTGACCAAAATGACAAATTATGGCAAATATTTTGACAAGAGCTAGAGGGTCCTTTCCAGTCCCATGGCTTCCATCAGTATTGCAACACCTTTTTATTTGCTGGAGAAACTGCCATGTTAATCCTTGCAAAACAAAATGATGAAAATAAACCAAAGGGTTTCTAATTTACTAGAACATAGCAACCTGACTGACCAAATCTAATGGTCTGTTATATTAATTTGGGGGTTTATTTTTTAATTCAAATTTGAATGAAAAAGGCAGAGCAATAACATGTTTTGCAGGATGGTGTGTTTTCTGACTGGTCCAGCTTGAAAAAACGTACTGGGAGTGCAGCAGCCAGCTCAGGTTTTGGCCACTCCTGGCCAACACTGTCACTTTGCCAGGAGTTTTGACATGATTCTTACTGAAAATGGACATCTGCCCGGTTGGAGCTCACTCCAAGCCCTGTTGGAGTCACTGCAAAGATACCTGTTGGCTTCCACGCAGACTCACAAATCCTCACGCCAGAAGGGATCAGCCAGTCTGATCCTCTGCAACTCATGCCAAGGTTAGGCTTAATTTGAACCTTCCATCCTTTGCATACAAGTATGAACACTTTCCTGTTCAGGTATCCTGAACTCAGGTATAAGCTCAGATATCATAATGTTTTATTTTATCTGCTTTTGCTTCAGCATTAATCTGTGTCCCACCAAGAAGGTGGAGTGGCTCACAGCAGTGGCAGTTTGAGTGTCACCTCCTAGTTTGATTCTCCTGCTAGGGCTGGAGGTTCTTGCAAAAGTACATTTCCCATGAGTCAGTCCCTCAGGAAAGAAAAAGGGAGACAAGGACACAAATAACTGCATTTCTGTTCCCATGACCTACAACTAGAATGGAAAGACACAGATTAATTGCCAACAGACTTAAAGCTGAAAGTTTCCGATAGGGAAAACCAAATGAACTCTGGCAACCTCCAGTCTTGCTTGCTGACCATTTTAATTTTGTGGGACTCCCCCCGCCTCCATTACAGCATTATTTTGACTGGGAATTCCAGGCCAGCACGATCCTACCTTCCCTTGTCACCTGTCCAGCTCTTCAGATATGACCTGTCATGTGAAGAAGCCATCGAGTGAGGCAGCAACAGACTCAGGCTCCCATAACACTCCTGCTACTTCGGTAAACGCATTTTGGCTCCTCAAAGTTGTTTGGGTATGGCAACGGGAATCAGTGTATAGATTTGAATGAGGAAAAGGCTGAAACTCCCATGGTCCCCATCGCAAAGGGACAAGGGACGCTGTCCATTGAGCCCTCCGAGCAGAAGCCTGGCCGTTTGAAAGCAGATGAGGAGACACCTCTGAGGATTCAAGAGCCAAAAGTGTCTGCTCCTCTGACTGGGCCTGTTAGGCATCAGATCCTGAAATAAGAAAGGGCATACTTCTAGCAGGAAAGAAAAGTAGTGGGAAAAAAAAAAAAATGTATTAATCCTTGACAAACCTAAAGCCTCACGAGCTGCTTTGAAACCACAACAAGCCACAGGATTCAAGTCTGATATATTTACCAGAGAAAAGCTCTTTATCTACATTTTCAGACAGGAGATGAGTACTTGTGCTCCACAGCTTGCTGTCCCTAAGGCCCAGCGCTGCCCAGCACCCCAAAAACAGGCACGGTAGCCTATAAACCAGTCTCCTGCCGGCCTCTACTTTCCCTGACACAGCCAATGTATTGTTTTTAAACGTAAAAACACATTACCCTTCGATGACAACAGACCCAATGAATGCCGTATGCCCTGAAACTCCTCGTGCCTCGAGATGCTGCCCTGCCCCGGGTGGCTGCTGCACCTCAGGAGGCTGCCGCCACATGGCGCCACCACATTACCCTTCGATGACAACAGACCCAATGAATGCCGTATGCCCTGAAACTCCTCGTGCCTCGAGATGCTGCCCTGCCCCGGGTGGCTGCTGCACCTCAGGAGGCTGCCGCAACATGGCGCCACTGCTCCCCTCAGTGGCGCTGGGGCAGCCACTTTGGAGGGTGCGGGTGGGCGTGCACAGGGCGAACAGAGAAACAGGGTCCCAAAAAGACACCAAAAATAAAAGGGTTATTTTCAGAGGTTCTTTTTCAGGTGATGAACTGTGAAAACGAGCTCTAGACAACCCATTCCCTTAATTACAACTAATATTAGCTGAGCACAGATAAAGCATTTTAAGCTCCCAACAGCAAAGCCAGAATTATCCTGTCAGTTGGGAGTAAAAGGCAAGATTGTTCCTTGCCATCTTAAATTGTCCTGCGGCTCGAGTCAAACAAATCTGAGTGAAATGGAGCAAAATAACAGCGAAAACTTCATCATTCTGCCCCGAACAACAGATCCATGAACAATTAGGGTAGCTGATGTTTCTCATAAACACTACCCAGCCTTCTTAACATCTGTTGGGGAAGGTTAGACTGTAGGCTAAGGCATCGAAGAGAGCTGTATTGTGGGTTTTTATTTCAGCTGCAGGCATGTTATTTATCCACTCACTGGACCTGATCCGGCAAAGCCCTTGCTGCCTCATCTGACTGGACACACATCCCCTGCACGGGAGTCGGAGCAACAGCAACCTGCTGCAAGGGTCAGCCCACGCTTGTGGGACCCCAATTAATTATCTTTTAGGTTAATTTTGCCCTTTTCCATAAAAGCTAAATATGC